TGTCATGGTTGTGCTAGTTAACATTCCCACCAACAATGTAGATGAGTTCTTTTTTTCCTCACAGCAAACCCAGCATTTGTTATTGTTTGATTTCTTGGTGAATGTCGCTGTCTCTGGAGTAAGATGGAATCTCAGTGCTGTTTCCATTTGCATTTCTCTAATGGGCAGAGATGTTGAACATTCTTTGTGTCTTTATTTCTTCTTTTGAAATGTGTCTGTTCATTTCAGTTGCCCATTTTTGTTGGGTCTTTTATTTGGGGAGGTTTAATTTTTTCTGAGTTCTTTATATGCTCTGGATATTAGTCCTCTCCACAACGTGTGGTTGGCAATTATTCTTTTTCCATTCTGTAGCTTGTATCTTTAATCTGTTGTTTGTTTTCTTTGCTGTGTAGATTTTTAATTTGATATGGTCCTATTTGTTGCTTTTGTTATTTTTCCTGTGTAATTGAGGTTCTGTTCAGAAATCCATGCCTATGTCTATGACTTCAAAAGTTTTACCTATTTTATCTTCCAGCAGATAAAGTGTTTCTGTTTTAACATTTAGATCTTTGATCCATTTTGATTTTAGCTTAGTACGTGGTGAGAGATATCTGTATAGATTCAATCTTCTGCAAGTGGATAGCAAGTTTTCCCAATATCTTTTGTTAGAGTCTATCATTCTTCAGTTTAAATTTTTAACTTCTTTGTTAAAGATCAGGAAACTGCCTGAAGGTGTTTCCGCATCCTCTATTCTGTTCCATTAATCCACGTATCTCTTTTCTTCGCCAGTACCGTGCTGTTTTATCAGAAGCTGGGTAGCATAATTTGAAACCTGGGATTGTGATGCTTTTTGCTTTGCTCTTGCTGCCTGGGACCGCTCTTGCTATTTCAGGCCTCTTCAGTTCCATATGAATTATCAGTTTGTCTTCTTTAGTTCTGTGAGAAACGGTATTGCTATTTTTATTGGGACTTCATTAAAATTTTTATAATGTAGTTTCAGAAGTATGACATTTTGACTATATTGGTTCTAGCTATTCAGGTGTACAGTACAAAATTGCTCATAATGTTTGCATGTTGACTTTTTGTCCTGTTATACTACTGAAATGGGTCATTTCACTTTTTATTTTAAAGAGGGTAAAATAAAACAGAACAAATCAGATCAGAAGAAAACAATGTAAGTGATACAAATTTCATAGCAAGACCACAGGGGATCTACAGTGGCTACCATGTTTCTTGTTTTCTTCTAAATAATTGTCTATATCTTCACACACAATGAATTCAAACAAGACAAAATAGCATAGAACTCATCAGAACGGAGTAATGAAGGCATTACAGGCCTTCAAAACCAGACAATAGGAAAATCAACAATGGCTACCGTAGTATCTCTTGTTCTCTTCAAAATAGTTGACTACACCTTCATGTATGTTGAATTTAAATAATACAAAACAGCTTAAAACCACTCTGAACAAAGAATAAAAGCATTCCTGGATTTCAAAGCATGATGATATGGAATCAGCAATGGATATCATAATGACTCTTTTTCTTCAAAGTAGCTGTTCATTTCATCAAGCATAATATAATCGATTTTCATAAACTGTTTAGGAGAAGTTCTATGCATGTATAAGCCTCTACATGTATACCTATCCTTTCTGTTGAAACTGATTATTAAATCTAGGAAAACTTTGGTGGGATTTTTGAGCCTTTGATATAAAGAATCATGCCATTTTTAAGTAATGACAATTTGAGTTCTTCCAGATTTATCCATATAGCTTAATTATGTATATATGATTGCTTAATATATATATATATATATATATATATATATATATATATGTATATATAGCTTGATTGTTCCAGTTAATGTTTTGAGAACTATTTTGAGCAGGAGTAGATAGCAGACATCCTTGACTTGTTACTGATTTTAGAGAGGAAATTTTAACTTTCTTCCCATTTAATGTGATGTTGCCCATTGGTAACCATAAATGATTTTTATCAGATTGAGAAAAGATTCTTCTATTCATATTTTCATCAGGGTTTTTATCTTGAATAATGGATGTTGTATTTTGTCAAGCACTTTTTCTGTGTCAGTGATGATTTTTTTTTTTTTACTTTATTTGTTTCTGTTATGTTTTACATTTATTGATTTGCATATGTCAAACCATCCCTGTGTCCCTGAGATAAATCCTGCTTGGTCCTGTTGCATGATCTTTTTAATGATTTGTTGCATTCTGTTTGCCAACACCCAATTGAGGACTTTTGTGTCTCTATTTACTGAAAAGATTAACCTATGGTTTTCTTTTTTGACTGGGTCCCTTTCTAGTTTTGGAATCAGAATAATGCAAGCTTTTAGGAATGACTGTGGGAGTTCTCCTTCACTTTTAATTTTAGTAAGCAGTTTGAAGAGTATTGGCCTTTAATCTTCCCCATAGTTCTTCTCTAATTTGGCAGAGTGACTCATTGGGGCCTGGGCTTTTCTTGGTTGATTGTTTTTAAATTACTTCTTCAATTTAATTTCCTCTTATTGAATTGCTCAAGTTTTATATCTTCTTTGTTTGGTTTTGTATATTCATGTATATGTATTTGCCCACCCATTTCTTCTAAATTCTCTAATTTATTAGAGTATAGTTTTTCAAGTTAGTTACTCACAGTCTTCTGAATTTTAACAGTATGCATTATGATTTCACCTTTTTCATTTCTAACTGCATTTCTCTCTCTCTCTCTCTCTCTCTCTCTCTCTCTCTCTCAGATTTGCTAGGAATTTGTTCATGTTGTTTATTCTTTCAAAAAACCAGCTCTTCAATTCATTGATTCTTTATATTCTTTTAATCTCAATTTCATTAGTTTCTGCTCTATCTTTTTTTTTTTTTTAATTTTAAAGATAGCAAAATCCAACGAAACAAGACAGAACAAAGCCAATCAAAACAATGCAGCAGAACTGGTACAGAACTTCAAAACAGGATACCAGGAAAACAATAATATCTACCATGGTATATCTTGTTATCTTCACAATAGTTGTCCATTCCATCAGGTATAGCAAAATCAAACCAAAAACAAAACACTATAAAACTAATCAAAACAGAATATCGAATAGAGCAAAACAATCAGAACAAAGCAAAACAGTGAAAACAATATTTGCCTTCAAAGAGAGGATAGAAGAAAGGCCCCCATATTTGCTATATTGCATACTGTCATCCACCCCAGAGATGCTCAGAGCGCTGGCCCCAGGCCTGCAATAATCAACCAGACAATACAACATTTAGTTGCTTTATATACCTTGGTTACTATCAACTCAGGCTGACCTGGAACCATCTGGTTGCTTGAGGGTGGGTAGGGGGCATGTGTGGTGTTTGATTCTCAGCTCCTGTGCTGGTAGGCTCACAGGAGGCGCTGGCTTTCCTCTCCTTGGAACGTGCCCAGCTTGCACAGCTTACGAGGAAGGCTGGCTAGTTGTTTTCTTGGTTGGTCCCCCAAGTCCCCACATCTGGATCCTGCTCTACCTTTTTAATTTCCTATTTGTGCTAGCTTCAGATCTGGATTGTTATTATTTTTGCGGTATATAATTAGATTATTTATTTGGACTTGTTCTGTTTTTCTGATGTGGTCGCGCACAGCTATAAACTTCTCTCTTACAACCGCTTTGTGTCCCATAGATCCTGGCATGCTACACTGGCATTATTGGATTCTAGGAACTACCTCATTTTTTTCTTTGATATTTTTTATATGACCCACTGACTGTTCAAGAAGATGCTGTTTCATTTTGATGTGTTTGCATAATGTATGTGGGTTTTTGCCATGTATTTCTAGTTTCATTACACTACGATCTTATAAGATGCATGGGATAATTTTTATTCTTTTGCATTTACTTAAACATGCTAGCAACTGGTTCATCTTGGAGAAAGGCCTGTGTGCTGGTAAGAGAAAGGTATTTCTGTTGTTTTGGGGTGGATCATTGTAGATATTTATTAAAACCATTTGTTTATTGCTATTCTCCAATTATAAATTTGTTATAAAATTTTATCTTAGTTTTTCCACAGCAGAGTCTTTCTCTATTTTCTTAATATCTACTTATACTGTATTACTGTAAAATTTTAAAAGTTTGGCTTCATTCTGACATTTCTTGATTTTTTTGGCTAATTGATTCCACGAAAACTGGCTTTTCAATTTGGTAAACTTCTTAAAAATCTCTGTACTTAATATAAGACAGTATGTAACATTCAGAATAATGCAAAACAGATAATTAGAAATAATCTATGCTTCCAAGAATAAAAAGGGAGATGCAAGGAATAAAAAATTGTGAGTCTCTTTCTAATGACTCTTTCAGAAGTGTGGCTGAGCTGTAGAGAAAAAGCACAGTAAGTTGACTGAATAAAAGAAAACTCAGATCAGGATTCTTTCTTTAAAAAAAGTACAAAAGTAGAAGCTGCTAAACTACCACCATCCTCAAGAAGAATCTATGAACAGTAAAACAAAGACAAAGCCACTGCTTACAAGTTTTTGGTTGTGATTTGCATAATCACAACCTTTGATTAGATTTTAACTTAACCTGCTTTTGATTTTAACCTGCCTTTTATTAGATTTTAACTTAAAATGCCATCAGTTCCTTTTAGCTCAGCCACCCTGCTGTTCTATAATGAATATTCAGGGAGATAGTAATTCCCATGCTTTGTAAAGAGCGGTACTTCCTCAAGAGTTAAGTTTCCTAAGTCCCAGTACAGGTTTCCGATTCAGCTGTGCAAATAAAATGCGACCTCAGGACACAATGGAGATGACTGTTGTGATCCTTCCACTGAAAGTTTCTCTGTCATTCTATGTGGTCTCATCTTGTGCCCAGAAAGAATGTACTTACTAGAAACACATAAAATCAACATTATTTCATCTTTCTGTGTCATTTATTATCTGTGAAGAATGTCCTAGAGGCTATTTTCATATTTAAGCAATAGGAAAAAAGTTCATCTATAAGTTAAACTTTTAAAAAGAGTTTTTAAAATATCACTTGTACCCTTGTAAGAAAATATCTTTAGTTTTCAGCCTCTGAAAGAACAGAATCAAAACTGCTTCAGCAAGTTTACCAGCTGGGAAAAAACCTAGATGCTGTGGATCTCCAGGACGCCAGTAGGGAGCCATATGAAAACACAGTCCTCACGAAAGACCAGGTATGTTTTGAAGGAAAAAAATAACCTTTCTTTTAAAAGTTACCTAACCTTGTATGAATTAATTCTACAAAGCCATTTCTGGTCATACCAATAATTCATATTTAAATTATGATGGTAAATAGCAACATTTGTATTTGCTGAAAGGAATTTCATTCCCTAATGAATACCTGCATAAAATTTATTGTTAGTTATATTTTAAAAATTTTGTATGCATCCTTTTGAATGATGGTAGTTGAACATGCTATTTTTTAAATAATATTTTTTACTCAAATGTTGCTTAAATTCAAAGTTGAATCTAATCAGGAAATAGTTTCTGTATAGTAAAACAAGTAGGTCATAAAAATTCGGCATTATGTTTTCAAGCAATTACTTTGTAGAAACAATCTCTGAATCTCTGGACATTTTATATGTACCATGATATACATGTACCTCTTATTCAACCCAAAGGGTTTGTATCAGCTATTGGAATATATGAATATGTTTACATTTGAGGAGAGAGAGAGAGAGAGGTTAGCATTAACTTTAGCACATCATGCTAACGTAATTTTCCTCAAGCATCTCCTAGTTCTGAGTGCACTTGTGTGTTTTGCCCGAGGCTCTCCCACAGAATGGAGGCAGATGATCTCTCCAGTGATGATTTCCAAAACACCTAGCTGAGATAACACTGTCATGCCTAAGATTTGACATCTGATACATACGCAGATGTAGAATACTTTGAGTATGTAAAAGGAAGAGTTGTGCACTTGGTTTGTGAATTTTTCTCATTTTCAGTACATTGAGAAGCTGCAAGCTGAAGTAAAGGCTTCCCGGAAACAACTAAAAGTCCATGTAAGTGTTTTTTCTTCTTAATCCCTTTATTTATATCATTGTCATTTTTTGAAGGAAATAGAACAAAACAAAACAGTGAGAATAATATGGATTTCAAAAACAAGGCAGAAGGCAACCCGCAACGGTTTCTCTATGACATATTGTTATCCTCTAAACTGATGCTCAAACTACTGGGCATTAAGGCCTGCGAAGTCAATCGAACAATACAAGCATTAAGTGGTTTTTGTACTTCAGTTGTTATCAGCTCAGCCCGCGTTCCTCTGGATCAGCCAGTTGCCTTACAGGACGGTGGAAGTGGGGAGGGCTCTTTTTGTCTCCCAGCCTGCACTCCGGCTGACACACAGGAAGGGCGGGTTGACTTGTTGGTTCTCTTCCCAGTGCATGACTCTATCATTGTCATCTTGGAAAAATGAACAGAAATTTTCCAGAAGTTAAAAATAAGGGATTTTTGCTGCAAACCAAACTTTTGCAAATGATCAAAATGACAAAATGAGCATATATATATATAAAATCAGATGGTCACATCAGGTCTATCCTAATGACATATCAGAATAAAAGAGGGAAGTTAGGGATAGTGACTGATACCAGATTAGTTTACTGAATAGAGGAAGTGGTGAGTTATTACAGTCAGTGACACATCAAATATAGGTCTAAATCTTCAGCATATGTAAAAATCACTTAGAAAGCCTCATAACAATTTGTAATCGCCAGATCTTGGAAACAACCCAAGTGTCCATCAACCGAGGAATGGATAAAAATGTTGTGGTATTTCTATACAATGGAGTATTACTCAGCTATAAAGAAGGATCACATTGAGATATTTATCAATAAATGGGCGCAGCTTGAGACCATACTCATAAATGAAATAAATCAATCTCGCATGTGTGAATACTGAATAGTTTCCCTAATGTAAGTAATGATTCAAATATATAAAAGTATGTGGTAATCATGATTCCCCATTATGTGGCCTTGAAGCCTTATAAAGTTTTCACTTATTAATTGGAAAGGCTTTATTCTGGGCTTCTTGATATGGAAATATTTGAAGCTATAGTATATGAAGTTTTATTCAAATATTTCAAGGAAAAAGACAGATACTAGGGTAACTACTATTAAGTCAGGTTATTTGGTGGTGAAGCACTAGGTTGCCTAAACAGTCATGCTTTGACCTGTATTGTTATATTGTTATGCCCTCTTTTATATCAATCTCTCCCTTATTCATTAAAAAAATTATTTAGTTATTTTTTATGGTTTTTTTAATTAAGGGGAAAAATGTTTAAAATTAGCAGGATATATTATAGTAACTTTTTTTGATTTCCTATTAACTTGTTTTGAAGTCCTGTAATACTCCCACTATCTTGTTTTGACTGATTAGACTCTGTTCCATTCTGTATGTATCAAGTTTGAGGGTATAGGCAACTACTTTGAAGGCAATAAGACTCACTAAGATGCCCATTCTGGTTTGACTATTGTCTCCTTTGGAAGTTCTGTAATGTTTACAATGCTTAAGTTTTATTGGTCTTGTTCTCTACTGTTTTGTTCAACTTTATAATACCTAATGAGACAGACAATTCTTTTTAAGGAAACAAGAGACATATGGTAACCATTGTTGATAACCTTGTACTCTGTTCTTACATCATGTACTATGTCTATCCTTGATTTTGACTGACAGCTTTGTTTTGCCATATTTGACTTTATTCTCTACCAAAAAAAAAGTAATAAGAACTAAGGAGTAATAAAACCCAAAATGTGTAAATTTTGTTGTAAAAAAGAGAGGGAAAAAAAGTGCTCTAAAGGATACAACAGCAAGTGTGTTTAGGGGTGTTAAATAGCTGACCATATTAATGTTTTTGGTTGGATCATTGAACACAACTGTTTGCAGTCTCACTGTTTGAATGTCCACTTTGTATGCTTTGATTCTGTGACTTGAGCAACTATCTCTCAGATGATAATGTGTAATCTATTAACTGGTGATTTCTTACTGGTTTTTTGTTTTTTGTTTTTTGTTTTTTGTTTTTTTTGTAGTTCTGTATTACTTGTACCCTTACGCCGCTTTGTTTTGTTTTGTTTTTTCTCTTTTTCCTTTTAAATAAAATAAAATAATAATAATAATAATAAAAAGAAAGCCTCATAAAAATTCCTCAGAGATTTGGTTTCCTAGATTTCTAGTATGGAACTTGAGAATTTGCACATGTAGGTGATTGTAGAGTCAAGTGATGCCACTGGGTCACCTTGAGCAACATGCTTTTCCAATCTTGTCATTTTTAAGCAAGTGGCTATTGAAAGCAATCAGACTGCATGGTTGTCCATATTCTCCTGCGAGACAGACTGAGTGAGGCAGTATGAATTTCCAGGGCAAACTTCATTCATACTATAGCCTGTTTGCGTAGAGAAGCACTAATGAACATCTCCTGCCATATACCTTTGTATATTTATAGTCACAAACCACTCGCCCAGCCACCAACCAAGGATGTGAACAGCTCCAGTGTCTTAATGAAGTGTACCAGCAGGGACTTGCTCGGCTTTCTTGTCATCATTTCCTCCAGCCATTTCGGCCACTATTGTGATTTCTTGATCAAAGATACTGGCCAGTCATATTAGATGGCACCAAGTTCTTCACACAGGTCTGAGAAATGAGAGCCAAGAGTACAGATAACTTGTCAAAAGGAACAAGAAAAACATACAGGGCGGGAGGAAATGAGAGAGAGAGAGAGAAAGAAAGAAGGCAGAGAGGGAAAAAAAGGAAGGAGATGGGGCAGAGAGAGCAAAATAATAAATTTTGATGATTTTCTATTGAAGGTTTGAAATGAACTAATGAACTCTATCTTGGTAAAACCTCAATAACTGCCACGTTTTTGTCCTGGAGGACACAAAAGCTAACCTGCCCTGGCAATTACAGAGCCTTTAACTCTAATTTCAAAATCATTTGCAACCTAGTGTATTCATTTGACCAGTACTAAAAGTGGTTTGTGCCTGAATTTGTGGCACTGTGACCTATTCCAGCAGAAGGAAATACACTGCATCACCCCAGAATCCCGGTGCAGGGTCTCTTCCCTGGTCTGCCTCTGACACTGCCCTGAGTGACTGTTGTCCTAAGCGGCTGCCTCAGGGTGAATCGGTACCTGCAGCCACTGTATGGAGGAAGGTTTAGCTCAGGGTTTTTGAAAGAAAACAGATGTATTCCCTGGAGTTTGAGTATTATTTCCAGCATCTCTTTGTGAAAAAAAAAAAATTGTCTCCTGTGCCTCAGGGAGATGCCTGTGGTATTTTTCTCCATTGCCCAGTTTTTATGGATTCTCTCTTTCTACCACGCTGCTACTATGCCAGGTTTGTCTGAACTGGGGCCCCTCGCTTGTCTGGGACATTGTGATTTCTCCTAGACAACTGTCCAACATTATATTTCAACAGTATATTTATAAAGGCTTTGCTTAATTCAGCAAGAAAAATTGAAGATGAAAACAATGTTAAGAATAATACTTACTAGGGGCTGGGGATTTAGCTCAGTGGCATAAGCGCCTGCCTTGCAAGCGTGTGGTCGAGAGTTCGATCCCTGGTACCAGTAAAAAAAAAAAAAGAATAATACTTACTGAGAGTTGATTGCGTCTTCCTACATTATGAAAGGTGCTTTGTACACTGTCTATTTTAAATCTGTAAACAACTCAACTAGGTGCATTATTTTCGTAAATGAAAAACTGAAGTCTTCCCTTTCCCCTGCTTCCTTTCCCTCTTCCCCCTCTCTAGTTCCTCTTTCCTTTGAACAGTTTCTTCCCGTTTCACAATATCTGTTGTACATTTTGGTTCTATTTGCTTTTTCAAGAAAACTGGATCTTAACAATGTCTCTCCTCACACTCTGAAGCCAGGGGCTTTCCTATCATAACTGCTGCTCCTCTAAATTATCTTCTCTCCGTGCCCTTTGGGGTGACAAACGCAGTTTGTAAAGGTTCAGCCGCCAGCCTCCTCTTTTCTTAGTGATTCATCAGTTCATCAGGCTTCTGCTCTCACTTTCGTGCAAATAAACAACCACCTCCACTACCACCAAGCTTTTTTTCTGTGTTAATCATCCCTCATTACAGCTCCCAAGTGTTGTGATGAATATTTCTTAAAACACTGTCCCTGGAGAAACCACTTCACAGGCAATATATGCCCTGGACAAAAGGGGCTAAGAGTTGGAAACACGGATAACTTAAATGCAGAATTTACAGCAATTTACAGAGGTGTTTGACCATGAAAGGTGTCTAAAAACTCAACAGTAGGGAGACTGTAGGTGCATTGCAGGGAACCAAGCACTGTGCTTCTTAAATGGGACCTGGATTTCTTCCTTTCTTTTCTTTTCTTTCTTTTTTTCTTTCTTTACTTTTTTCAGAAAAGATATATTTTAATATAGCCACCTAACATAGAGTTCCAAATTGAGACTCTAGACCTGATTAAGGTACATCAATTTTTATATCTACTTGTCTAAACCCCAAGATTATGCCATATTATCTAATCATCAGTAATAAACTTGTAATGAACAGGACATTATTGAAAAGGAATATAAGACTTGAATCTCTTCTTTTGACTCAAAGCCACATGGAAACAGAGGATTAAGTAAGAAATCACAGGAATCTTCCCTTCCACATGTTCCTAGACCAGGTTTTGTCTGGTGAGGATTCAGGAGCTATGCTGAAATCACCTGCATAATGAGAGTGGTGAGAGCGGTCCTCGAAGCCTGCGCGTGGCCCAGGGACCTTTTGCTCTGCAGCAGAGCCTGTATGTGAGTGGCCTCCTCAGACCATCAGAAGCTGTTGCCGGGAGGTAACCCTGACTTAGATCCCTTCCTTTTCCAGGCTAAGCACTTCAGAGTACAACAGGGAATACCAGAGCACTCAGTGGTTACCAACTGGGAGCAGAGTGCCCGAGCTCCCTGAGGGTGCTTAGAGATGTGGCAGGGAGCTCTACAATGACTGAGGGCTTGGATCATCCCTGGGTAGAGCAGTTGCTATGCCCTAATGTATCAGACACA